GACTCGTCTACGCTGTGCACTTAACAAAAGCACAGACTTCCAGGAAGTCCCTGAACGCAACCAGCTAGATATCACGGAGCCATACAAGGTCTATCGCATCCAACATGATAACAGCCAATCCAGGCCAGCAGGTAAAAACCGAGTGTAAGAGTTTCTTATATATATCTTTGATCTCTCTACAGTTTTTGAGCTTTTTTTAAAAATAAAAATTATCTTTACTTTACAGGGTATTGCTTTAACTATATAGTACAGTATATGTGAGTATTTTATTTGTGCTAACTTTATCTACTTATTGCTCTTCTCAGAGTCTATTCAAATAAAGGATCAAGTGATGCACCATGCCAAGAGGTCTCCAAGGACCCCCGCTTATCTGGACAAATTGGTAAACTAACCCATACAGCCAATAATCCCTGGATTAGCAAAATATCTGATAGTGGATTATGCAGTGGACACACTGTAATAATCCTAAAGAAATGAAGAAAAAATCACTTTGCTTTTAAATGGGAATATTACTTCTATTATTTCTTGTTGGCACTTCATTGCAATCGAGTTTTGAACGGAGTTTAAAGAGTCATCGATTATACTATTTTGGATCTTTCCATTTATATTCTTTGCATGATTACGAGTTAAAAAATAATCCTCATTTAATTAATCCGGGGTGTTGGTACAGGTACTCAATTTATCTCTGCAAGCTGTTTTATCTTATCTCCTTGTATGTGAACTTTCTTCTGATTGGTTGTCCCTCATAAACAGAAGGTGTGAAGAACACATGTAGGTGTTCTTTGCTCAAAGCCAGAACTGTGTGCTTGAGATAAGTCAGTGAAATATCTGCTTTCACTGACATAATACAGAGCAGTCAAACTGTCTGAAACCAAGAATTTAGAGCAATCTGAAACCTGATGACTACTGCATATGCTGGTCAACTTAATATAAGAAACATCCATGAATATAAATAGATAAAAATGTAAAAAAAAAGTCCCCTTTAAATGTGTATGTGTTCACCACTGTACACAACAGTGTGCACCTCCAATAAGAAGCTTTTGCTGTTATGTTAAAAATGGTACTTATAAGCCTCATGCAATGTTTATCTAACCTCGGTTTCTTTTTTTGTAGCCCCCAAATAAAGAAGAATCCTTTCAAGGAGACAAAGAAGAAAAAATATTATCAGGTAAGACTTACATACACAAACTGGTACATCACTAGAACCATTAAGGATAATCATGACCACAAAGATCAAACGTTTTTTGTAAAAGTGTGCATTTATCCTTGCTGGTTTCACACGTGGGCATGAGATTGTTATGGCATTTGGTCACCTTTGAGCTATTTGAGTGCTTGTTCATTTTCCTATATATGAGTTGACTGCAGTGATACGTTGTCCATGGCCCCATATTGGCCCTTTTCTGTGTTCCCAAATGGTTTGTGAGATGCCGATTGGGTAAACATATGATTTGGGTGAGAAGCTGGCTTACATTGGGATACTGATGCTGTTAACACAGTTATATTTTTGCTGAAGGGGTTCCTGCTGGCTGCAAAAAAAAGACGAAGCTCCATAAATCAGTCATTCTCTAAACTTCTTTAGACAGAATTAAATTCCATTTTGAACAGTTTTTTTTTTGTAGTGCCAGAAGGAGTCTCATATTTCTTTTTGTCAGTGAAGTTGATCAACAACTGTTAGTTAGATTGCTGTCAAATTGTTTTTTCTTTATTTTTGGTCAAACTGGATTGGTAAGATAGTCACTCTTATGTCAAACTGTTTGTTGACATGGGAAAACTGTCTGTTGCAATTAGATGGTTTGATATGCCAACCCTTACTTCTCAGAATTTTACTCATCTTAAAAATAAAAGCAGCAACGTCGTTTTATGTGTGTTTTTTCTGCTTTAGAAAACCTGATGAGGGAGCACATGTACTGTGAGTTAGTGGAAAAACATCAAAACCCGGCCCCTGCACCTATAGCCTTCTTTCCTACACTTGCTATATCAGGTAAGAGCATTTTTAGGATTATGCACAGACAGGTGAACGTGTTGTTGGCTTTTTCAGCATATGGTCTGGAACACATACTATCTTTTGTGTGTATTTTTTAAAATAGAACTATTTTGTTATATTTTGTAACTCTGTAATTTGTTGTATTATTTAGTTTACTCTAGTTATTGTTCTGGCTTTCTTGGAGCAACTGTGACCACAGAATTTCCTCTGGGATTAATAAAGTATTCTGATTCTTATTCTTATCTTAAAGACTTCCGTATGCAGGTGATGTTGGTGTATCAGGGCCAGATAGTGACGAAAGTGACCACCAGGAGTCCAGATGGGTGTTTTATCCTGCAGGGACATGTTCCTTTGGGAAATGAGAAGATTTACGGACCCTGCACTGCCCAACAGCTTTCTTTCCCTTCCCCGGGCTCTGTATGCCAGCCACCCACTATGGCTGAAGCAATGAATCGCCTTCTTTGTCACCTGGAAAGAGGTGTTCTATTATGGGTGGCCCCAGATGGAGTGTTTATCAAGAGATTCTGCCAGGGCAGAGTGTACTGGAACGGCCCCATGGCCCAACACACCGACAAACCCAACAAACTGGAGCGAGAAAAAACCTTCAAACTGCTTGATATACCCACATTTCTCAATGGTAAGGCAGCTCATGCATACATCACAAATCTTTCCTCCATGCAAACAGTTGTTGTGTTTTTATCATCGATCTGAATATACCAATTATCATCTGCGCAGGTCTCCAGAACTGTCTACAGGGGAGGGGGCCTACACCCTCTTATGAGATTGAGCTCTGCTTTGGAGAGGAATATCCAGACCCCAATGTACCTAAAACCAAGAAGCTGATCATGGCTCAGGTGGGTGGAAAAACTTTACAGATTTACTTACACATTGTCACTGTTTAGCATCTGGTTGTAAATAAAATATCAAATATCCTTTTTTTAATTTTTATTTGATTTGCTCATAAAAACAGGGGATTTAATTAAAAAACGGTTTTCAGTTTCAAATTAAGATTCATATTCTATAAATCTTCTGCGCTATGAGTTAAAATGGTGGTCAAATGGCTCCTCCTGTCCATGTGTTGAATCATCCTTGGTCAAGGTATCAAACACCAAGTTACCCCCAGTGCATCCATCAGAGCATAAATGTTAGATAAAAGCGCTGGATGAATGAGACTCATAGTGAAAAAGTGCTACTCTATATAAATACCAGTCCAATCCAATCTATGTTCCTTTTACAGTTCAGTGATATGTGACAGTGCATCTGATTGGCTGTCATCACCTTGTATGTTTTTAAAATACCCCACCTGGTAAATATTAACTAAATTTTATGTCAAGCTGAAAAGTCTTTTCCCTTCCAAAGTCAAATCAGGACTTTGGAACATGAAAGCCCGCCGTGCAGCAATAGTAATGTCAACCAGCAGAGGTCCCCATAAGCATATTAATTGTGTATCACAATGTCCTGTTGGTCAGGTGGTTCCCTTGTTTGCAGTGGAGCTATTGCAGAGGTTCAATTTGGCAGAAACTGAAGAGAAGCCTCTGACCATCACCTCCAACACAGCGGGAGAGAAGATGTAGGAGGATGAGGAAAGCTACGTGCTTCAGGGTAGGCTTGGACAGTGTACAAGTGGATTACTGAAGGTGTGTTTCTTCCCTGTAAAGACACCCGCAGAGCATTACAGTGTCGTCAGCAGAGATGGAGATGTGTTTAAGAAACATATCATTGCAACACTGACCTGTTTGTAATGCATCAAAGTAATTTGCTTTTTATTTCTACCTTTTGTTGACTGTAAAGTGTTACCAAGTGCTCTGCAAACATATTGTTTAACCCAATAAAATGTGCTTCCAAAATACTGTAACATTAAATCTTTATCATGTATCCAATATTGATCTCATATATTTAGAGTAGTACTGCTAAGTAATTTAAATTCATAATGCTTTACAACAAATGGCATGAATAAAGTGACACTTGTAAATAAATCTATAAAGCTTTTTTTCCCTTTATTTCTAGCCAACATCATATAACATTCACAATTTTTAAAAATATACATTTTTTGTAGCTATAACATTTAAAAAGAAAAATCAAATTTTTGAAAATAAAAAAAAAACCACAAACTAAAGTGAGAGAGTGTGCTGAATCAGAGAATACCCGTATCTGAGTTTAAAATACTTTCATCATTTTCCCTGCCTTCAAACATATACAGTACATAAAAAATGAGATGGGAACAAAAGCGTACAGTACACAGGGGTCAAGAGTATTCACAAAGCATCATGTTCCAACGTGTTATTAGCACCATTACTCTTCAGCCATACTGCACTTTTTTACTCTTTCCATCATTCAGTTTTTAATGGAAAAACACCATGAGTGTCGAGGCGATGTGGCACAGACCTGTCTGTGTGGGTGGGATTGTCTGTTACGCAGTTTTCATTAGTGTTCTCCCTTTCTCAGAGATAATGTTAAGAACATATTGGAGAGTAATGCCTTGACGAACAACCGTTTGAAATGACTCCCAGTGATGAGAATAAAAAAAGGCTAAGAGTTGCTCGTACATTCACCTTGCCTGCCCAGGCCGACCCGTAGGCATCGGCTCAGAAGCAAGAAAAGAAGAAGAAAAAGAAAAGAAAAATGCATTGCAAAATTGACGGAGAGATTGCATTAAATCTGTTTAGCATATTTACTGTATATAACACCTGTAATGCAATATATATATAGTCAATTTTTGTTCATGTATATCTGCAATTCTTCAGTAGCATTAACTTTCATAACACTGATTGAAAATACCCTGCAGCAAACACTTTCGGTAAGTAGGTGTGGGGGACAACAACCATTACAAAAACAGAGTGAACACACAAGTGCTTGATTGTCTCACTAAATGTCATCAGTGTTTGTAAGCAGCCATCCAGAGAATCTTCAGCTGCTGCTCCTTTCAGGGCTGTGCTAAGTTAAATATGAGGGATGGAAAGGAAAGGAAAGGAAAGGAAAGGAAAGGAAAGGAAAGGAAAGGGAAAAAGGTGAAAGGAAAGGAAAGGAAAGGAAAAAGGGTAATGAAAGGAAAGAATGGTGGAGGAAGGGGCCTTAATAGAGTTGACTATCATTTGGGCAGCAGTATGGACACCTGCAAACTGTGTTTTCTGTTGTTTATATATATATGTGTGTATTTTTTAAATTTCCTTCCCTGCAACCCTGCCTTGAGGTCTCTCCATTGTTTGTCTTGGTTGGTGCAACAGAGACAAGGAGGGTGTGTATGTGCGCCTGTGTATGTGTAAGTATGCATGTGCAGAGTTCTACTGCCACTTCATTAGCTTGGAGCCATGAGGTAAATCCAGGAGGCTTTCATCAGTTCTGGTTGAGGGAAGGGTGTCTGGGGCAGACCAGCGCCGTTTGCGTGGGCGCTGCTGGTCCTTAGCCAAGGGCTCTCGGGCCAGAGCGCTTGGAGGGGCCGGCACGGTTGGGTGTGGGTGTTGAGGCAGAGGGGGAGGAGGAGGTGGTGGTGGCATCTCCTCCCTGTGCGAACTGCTGGATTCTGCTGCAGCCCTCGAGGGTAGTTGCGTGCGATGGGTCCTGGAGCTGGTACGAGTGTGTGTCCGATGGGTCGGGGTGGGGGTGAGGGCCAAGCAGACATCACCCTCTGTGAGCTGGCGGCAGGGCAGGCTGTACAGCTGTGTGGTTCTCTGGGGACAGCAAGAAGACCAGCCTCTGTCTTGCACAAAGAACGGATACTCCACCAAGACCTTCAGTAACTCCTACACAAAACCACAACATTGTTATAAACTCAAAGAAAAGACAGTGCATGTCTGGCACTTATTATCAATACAGTGACATGTTGGTGTTTAGCGAAATGTATAAACCAACCTATAAAATGCAGCTTTTGACCAGGGAATATCAAAGAAATAGCAACCTACACTATGAATAATCACTAAGTTTGTCCTTTAATATTTTGGCTGTCTACTTGAGGATTTATATCTATCAATGTGTGAGTGTGTG